GGGTGCTTATTTAAGGAAATACAGTCTGTAGGATGTCATTTACTTTGTCACAAGTGTGCAACAAAAATGTTAACATGCCTCATTTTTTGAGGGAACAGAAAAATTGAACACTCAGTGGAGTAATACATTCCAAACTATTAATAAGAATTAACAAGGACTCCTTCTAGTATTCCTTCTGAGCAATAATGGGGGTTTTGAGGAATTACAATGTATAAGTATTTGTGTTGAGGAAAGCAATCAAATGAAATGATATTTCATGTTACCAAGTGTAAGTGAATGCGTCTGGAAGCTGCATTTTTTAGTTAATAAATCTGAACTGACATTAGTTCAAAATCAGTCCAACTCCAACATCAAAACAATATTTCACTAATTTCTTACATGGAGCAAAGTAACTTTTTTATGGAGCGAAGTGACTTTTGGTCGGAGCAAAGTGACTGGGGGTGAAATGACCATTTAAGGGCAAAATGACCGTAATTCTGATCAAGATTTGCATACAGTCTGATTAAAGTACAGGTTGGCTGCCTGGTTAGTCCTAAAAATGTGACTGACATTTCAACAGCCTGAATGGAAGTTCTCAGTTGGCTCTTGACTAAGAAATTAACTTTTGCTCAGGCAGGAAAAATGCAATCCTCTTTTAACTAACCACATCCGAATGATCCAACTACATGTACATGATACCAATTAAACATCTTTGTGTACATATAAGTATTAACTATTAATTAACTATTAACATCTACTTATAATTATTATTCATAATGAAACCAATTCATCCTTTTGCTGTAAGGTACAAAAATGGTAACAAGTAAACATATACATGAAACAACTTTACTAATAATAATTATTATTACAGATAATGATCGAATTATTTAGAAAGCCAATTGCTACTTATTCCCCCAAAATTATAAAAGAGAGAGGAATTTAACTGGCTGCAGTTACGTACCTTTTCCATCCATATTCTCCTCTGTGGAAGGCGAATTGGAAAAACTTTCTCTATTGTCTGCATTATCCATAATCATTCTCTCAGCAGGCTCTGTTTGCAACACTTGAGCTCTGCGCTTTAATTCAGTGCTCTCCTCGAGGCTGCAGCCTGCAAGTTCAGCCACCTCCGCAGTGCTGGAGTCAAAGGAACTTGTGGAGGCTTCACCTTGAGCTACATGCTGATCTCCTGGAATGATGACTGGAACAGTTG